CACATTTTAGCCCCCTGGCTCCCCCTTGCCCACCTTGGCTGACATCATCAGAATTGATGATCTTAGCCAATCCAATGCTTTCCCAATTCTGATGATCTCAGCCAAGGAGGCCGGGTAGAGGGCGGAGCCACACACCCTGTTAGACAATCAGCATCTCTACGGGGAAGGTTCAGTGTCTCCATGCAGTGCGAGACGCTGAACGTCAGTGCTGCACATTGTGCAGTACTGACCCAGGAAGCACCTCTAGTGGCCAGCTGATTGACTAATACTGGAGGTGTCCCTAAACAGCAATATAAATAAAATATTTTCTTTGAAAAGGTAATGTTTACATGAAAATGCCTGCAGGGACGTGCTATACTCACCACCAGAATTATGATAATATAGAACAACTATATTAATTAATTTCTTTCTAACTGTATTTTGATTATATTTATATGTATTGGTATCAAAATACAGTTAAAATTAAATTATATATGTGTGTGTGTAAATAAAAATAATAAACAAAGTATATATATATATATATATATATATATATATATATAAAATTAGAGAAATAATTACATAAATATACATGTAGAATTGAAATATATATTTATGTAACCTTTTTACAAAATTAAGTGATTTTACTCATTACAATTTGAGACAGTCCAGATAATCCCATTTGCAAGCCCTATATTTAACCCCGTAACTTTCCAAAACACCATAAAACCTATACATGTGAGGTACTGTAAAGTAAAACAAATAAAATGCCATGCAGCACTTAAAAATAAATATTATTTCTTAATTTCTCAAGCCTTATTAACCCCTTAAGGACTGAACCAAATGTACACGTTGTGATCAAAACAAAACGTAAACAAAACCTGGCATTTTCTTGATGGAAAAATTTCCTTACCGCCCACCAGTTTTCGCGCAAGCGGAGGGTGTTTTAAAAAAGATAAATGTACGTACATTTATCTTTTTATTTCTACTTTATGCATGTTTATAATGTTTTTAACTTCATAAAGTTTAATGAGAAAACAATGAAGTAACTTGAAATTACCTTTACTAGTGATTAATGAGATCCTTGAGGTTGATGCTGTGAGACTAAATATTTGATATCTGGTTCGATTTTCGTAAGGAACAAACAGAGGTCTCCTCTTTTGGTGATATTCAGACAACTTCTCTGCTTGCTCATAATATAATTTCTCATTTGTGCATCAGCTCCCCTCCTCAATTCCCCTCCCCACCTTTTTTTTCCCTTTTTTCTATTTTTTTACCTTCCTTATAGCAATGCCCAGTAGGAAGGCTGAGCTAGGTAGCCCACTTACTATTACTTACTGTAGCCCACTATAACATACAGACACACATACATACAAAGACACATACATACATACAGACACATAAACACATACATACAGACACACACATAAGACATATATACAAAGACACGTACGTACACACATACACACACACACAACACATACATACAAAGACAAGACACACAAGACATACACACAAGACATACATAGAAAGACACACATACATACATACAAAGATACATACATAAGACACACATACATACAAAGACACATACACACATACAGACAGACACACACACACACACAAACAAACACACAAAATATTTTAGTCACCCTCCTGTTTCCTACCTTTTAGGTGCAGGAGGGTGACATTCCCTGGGGTCCAGTGGTGGCTCAGGTGGATGTGAGTCAGAGTTCCCACTCTGACTCCCTCTGCTTCCTCCCACGCGCTCTGTGTTAGCTGGGAGGAGTGACGTGCGGTCACTTCCTCCCAGCTCTGTGTGATGTAAAAGCGCCCAGCGCTGACCGGGCCCCCTTACAATCCATAACCATTGGGTGGCCCTGATATTTGAAATGAAAGCCCTGTTCCTCCTGAACAAAAGTATATATAATAAGTGTGGGTGCACTTAATATGAAAGAGGTGAGTTATGGTTGAGCAGACATTTAACACAAATACTAGGTTTTGTTTGTTTCGTTTTGATCAGAGTACAATTGCCTCTGTCCTTAAGGGGTTAAGTGCACCAAACATATTATATATTGTTTGGTAATGAACAGAAATTACTTTCTTTTAACTTCCTAAATGTATACTTAACAAAGAGTTAGTATGAACATTTTTTTAAATTAAAAACTTTAAAAGAATACATTTTTCCCATCAAGTAACATTACGTAGCATTACAACCAATCCCAGGTTAAAGGGACTCTCCAGGCAGAACTTTTTACTCACCTGGTTCCAGCGCCGGGAGCCTCGTGAAGCCTCGCCACCTGCGCACATACTTCATAGGGCGGCATTCATGCCGCCCTATGAAGTCCTGAGCACACTACCGCGCTGACAGCTCAGCTAATGGTCTTTGCCCGCCCCCTCTCCTCTGCTGACAGGCAGAGAGAAGGCGCGCACACAGTGCCTTCTCTCTCCTGCACACGTCAGACGTATTTTAATACATCTGACGTGTACATGGCCTTTTTAGGGCCATACATGATAGGAAGTCCCTCTGGTGGCCGTCTGAGTGACGGCCACTGGAGGTATTCCTATCAATCAATGTAAACACTGTATTTTCTCTGAAAATACAGTGTTTACATTAGATTGCCTGCAGGGAGCTATAGATCTCACCTGAACAAATACATTAAGCTGTAGTTGTTCAGGTGACTATAGTGTCCCTTTAACATAGGGGAGTGTAGAGCTGCTGCTCCAGGCCCATCTTGCTATTATAGACCCACAGTACTGACTAACCTGTCAATCTTGCAGTTTCCTCCTCCCTCTCTTCATGATTGAGAGCTAGGTGAACCTGTCAATTTTGCAGCTGGCTCCTCCCTGTCCTCATGTTGAGATCAGAGCAATCCTGTCAGTCTTGCAGCTGGATCCTCCCTCCACTCATTTATGAGATCAGTGTGAGTTTCATATGTCTGTGAGTTTCAGACTATGACTAGCCCTCTGATGTCATAAGATGTCTGTGCAGTCTGCAGCCAATCAGAGTGCTTGTATCAATGATGATGTGATATGGACATGCTGCTGGAGACTGCAGGGAGGGGAAGTATACAGCCACCACATGATAAATTAGGAAAATAACTATTACTCACTATTAACTACAGCATACCTCCCGATATTTCAAATTACACAGATGGGTGTGAGAACAGGTGTGGCCAGTGGCAGTGTTGTTCTGAATTTTTTTTAGGTGACTTACTAATAATTTATGCAATTAAAATGTAATTTAGAACAAGAACAATGTATTTTATTCACACAGTCTGATTTCTGAACATATTTATTGTAATTTAAAGACACATTACTCTGAATATTATTGCACACCAACAATATGGAGCTTCTGACAAGATGGACACTAGGATATAAAAGTGGGATAGAAGAAATTTGGCTTAAAATAGGGACACTTGGAAGGTATGAGATGCCCCTTCCATTGTAATGCTCCCTTCTGTGATCTACAGCTGTCATCTTGCTGAGCCTGAATCTGGCTGAGTTGGATGAGAGTTTCAAGCCAAAGGAGCTGCAGTGGTTGAGAACTTGAGACAATATCATAACATGCTTTTGTGGAATACAACTCCAAACTGAGCCAGCGGTGGGTGAGTTATACTGTAAATGGGAAAATATAACGAGATGGGAGTGGGGGCAACTGACATGTGCAGTGTGTATAAGGAATTACAGAGCCTCTGGTAAAGTGCATTGTATACTGTGTTATTACAGTGTGGGACTACAAAACCTACAGTAATGTGCAGTGTGTATGGGATACTACAGAGCTCCCAGTATTGTGCAGTGCGTACCGGAATATTACAGAGCCCCCATTATTGTGCAGAGTGTACTGAAATCAGTGGCGTCACTGGGGAGGGGGCTGGGGAGGAGGCAGAGCCCCCCCCCCCCCATTAAAATTTAAAGTCTGCGGCACTGAGTTTCCATTCACAAGCTGCAGCAGTGCTATCACTGTGGAACTATGTTCCACCCTTTTCCCACATGCAGCCAGAGGGGGCACTGTGCTGGGAGGACTTCCTCCTGGGTCATAGAGAGCAGCGCAGGGGAGAAACAGGGAGAGGAAGCTCAGCTCTGCACAGATGCAGCTTCTGGTAAGTGTGAGTCATTGTGTGTGGTTCAGTCTGTGTGTGTGGCTTAGTCTGTGTGTAGGGGTGGGGGTCACTTTGTGTATATGGGCCAGTCTGTGTGTGGATCAGTCCATGTGTGGAGGTGGGGGAGGGGAGGGGAGGAAGAGGAAGAGGAAGAGGAAGAGGAAGAGGAAGAGGAAGAGGAAGAGGAAGAGGAAGAGGAAGAGGAAGAGGAAGAGGAAGAGGAAGAGGAAGAAGGAAGAGGAAGAGGGAAGAGGGAAGAGGAAGAGAGAGAGAAGAGGGAAGAGGAAGAGGAAGAGAGGAAGAGGAAAGGAAAAAAAAAAAAAAAAGTAGGTGCTGGAGCTCCAAGAGAGATACCGCTCATTTCATGACCTCTCCTGTACCCAATGGATAGGCAGACTTGCCAACCACCACGGATTTGATTGTGCCACCCCTTCCTTGCAAGGCAAGTTTAGGGAAAGGGGAATATATATATATATATATTTTTTTATTTTTTTTTTAAACAATGAATAAAGTAAAAATTGTAAAGCTCTTCCCTATCCCACTCTCTATACCCCCCTGAACATAGTACACCCTCACAGACAGTAAAGCCCCCCACATACAGTACACTCCCATCAACACAGAGTACAACTTGGCATACACACACAATGCACCCCTCCCACACATCATCTCTTCACCCCCACATGCATACATACATGCTTCACCCCATTACACATCAAATCTCATATACACCCTGTGCCAAATTATTATGCAAATGATATTTTTCTCATTTACCTAAATAATTGATGTAAATAACAGCATAATTCTCATGTTCTCAACTATTAAGGGTACAATTCAAATTTTATTGAACAAACCTCCTAATAACAGTAATTTTTTTTTTTTAAACATAAAAAACTTACAATGCACTGTTCCAAACGCACAGTAAGTTTATAAGTTGTAAAGAACTGAAAATTGTCATTTGTTTTATTGAAAGCATATTTACCGAAATCAAAAGCTATTTCAATCAAACTTATAACAACATTTTAACTTTTTAAACATTTTAACAAGTCACATTACATTTTAACATATGACCCCTTATTTGATAGCAGCTTCACAAGTCTTGCATCCATTGAACTTGTGAGTTTTTGGACAGTTTCTGCTTGAATTTGTTTGCAAGATGTCAGAATAGCCTCCTAGAGCTGCTGTTTGGATGTGCCTCCCACCCTCATAGATCTTTTGCTTGAGGATGCTCCAAAGGTTCGCAATAGGATTGACGTCAGGGGAGGATTGAGGCTGTAGCGGAGGCCTGGTATTCCACAGGTTAACTCCACTAAACATCCCAGTGAGGCTCAGGAACAAGTAGTAAAAATACCATAAAGTAATAATTCCAGCAAACAAGGTAAATCACGAATATCCCCATACTGATCCCAATGACTGGACGACACAGCATCAGGAGCAGAACTCACTTTTAATCCACACAACCTCCTTATAAAGCATTCTCCCATGCAAGGGAGGGATTCATCATAATTAGGACAGTAACCAATAATGTCACAGTTACCTCCCAGACATCTCCTCCCCTCAGTGTGACACATAATCCCATTATATCTGCTGCAATTTTCCCCAAGTTCTGGATGTACCCCAAAACAGTTAGGTACAAGGGCTAAGTGGCACCACATGGTAGCCCTGATCTGGGTGACCAACATATGCAAAATTCACCCAGATCAGACCAGGGGTTCGTGAGTTACATGGAAGGGACAATTTGACCGACCGCACATGATGTGTTAGCCGAAAAGGGTTCCATGTGTTTTGGCCCTGCGGTCGGTCTCCGTTCGGGAGGTAAAACACACATAAAAACCTGACATCCACGATAAACATTGCATTCGCATGAGTCCCCTTGTTCGGTACTTTTAACTTACCAAACGGGGGTCTGATTTGCCTTCCCGTTCGGGAGTTACGGAGCTCTAGAGGTCTCAGCGGTGTTCGGGTAATTGAGTGTCCGATTTGAGTTCCAGACACTCGACAACCAAACACCGCTGAGGTTTTCGTGCGTAAGATGGCCGCCGCCACGTGTTCGTATGCCGAACGGCGGCCACCCAGATACATGCACAAAGTACCTAATAAGGTGCACACTTCTCTCTGGGGTGGTCTATGGGTTCGGTAGTTTTCATTCGTATGGAATACGGATGGAAACTACCGAACAAACATACGAATATTACATATAGTTTTAACTACACAGAAGAATAAACACACGAATTGCCGTTTTAACAGTCTTTTAGGACAGCCTTAATACCATCCGCTACAGAGGCCACACCATGACACTCTCTCCTTTTATCCCCATAGCAGCCATTGATGCAGAGGTATTCTTTGCAACATGAGATGGTGCATTGTCATGCATGTAGATTTTATTACGGAAAGCATAGTTCTTCCTTCTGTACCAGGGAAGAAAATGGTCAGTCAGAAACCCGACATACTTTGCAGAGGTCATCTTTACACCTTCGGGACCCTAAAGGGGCCGACCAGCTCTCTTCCCATGATTCCGGCCCAAAACATGACTCCACCACCGCCTTGCTGACGTCGAAGCCTTGTTGGAACAGGGTGGCCGTCCACCAACCATATGGACCATCCAGGGTTGCACAGCGCTCATCAGTGAATAGGACGGTTTGAAAATTAGTCTTCATGTATTTTTCTGCCCAATGCAGCCATTTCTGCTTGTGAGCATTGGTTAGTGGTGGCCGAATGGAAGGTTTATGCACAGTTGCAAGACTATGGAGGACTCTACACCTTGATGTCTGTGGGACTCCAGAGGCACCAGCAGCTTCAAATATCTGTTTGCTGCTATGTAATGGTATTTTAGCAGCTGCTCTCTTGATCAGATGCATGGATCTGGCAGAAATCTTCCTCAATGTGCCTTTATCTGCACAAACCCATCTGTGCTCTGAATCAGCCACAGATCCCTTAATAGTGCAAGGATCACGCGTAAGTTTTCGTGAAATATCTAAGGTTTTCATACCTCGTCCAAGGCATTGAACTATTTCACTCTTTTCGGCAGCAGAGAGATGCTTTTTCTTCCCCATATTGCATGAAAATGGTGCTCTGCTTAATAATATGGAACACCCTCCTTTAGTAGTTTTTCCTTAAATTGGGCTCACCTGGCAATCTAATTATCACTGATGTCCGAGATTGTTTTCAGTGATCAAAAGAGCCCTGACACACAATGCCATCCATGTTAAACTGAACAACAAAATATTTAATCTTTGTGACACTTAAATAGAATTTGCATAATTATTTGGAACAGGGTGTAGTTCGGTTCTGACATATAAGTTACCAGTTTGGGTCTAGTATCTTCTTTACCGTTCTATAATTAAAGTATATATAACAAATATACAGCTATCTAGGACTGTATTAGAGGGAAAAAAAAAAAATCAATTGAGGTACAGGGGTTCCGGAAACAAAATACAAGAGGATAAGTAGTTTATAAATGCCTTTTTTCTACGGCAGCTGTAGTGCCATATATTGTCTATTTCCCTACCATTCCTGAGGATGGCAATCATACAAACACTCACACACAGACAAGTACACACAAAATTGCTAAGGCTCACATGCCTTCCATTTTAGTGCAACACTGAGGTATATATGAAAACCACCCTTGCAGCTGCTTACAATAATTCTGTCAATTTCCCACTACTTATATGTTATGCAACATGCGGAGGATAGTGAGACATGCAGTCTCTCTTCACCGCAGCTTGTCAGCATAGGAATAAAAGAAGGTGACCAGCCTCCCAGGAGTGTGATTGTCATCAATACTAGGTAACCTGGCCATGATCCTGTGCTGCACTAACATATGCCTTGAGAAACTGGGTTGCTTACACTAAAACATGGTTTTATTGCACAGGGTGACATCACACCATAATGTATGACAGATGCACAACTACATACACTCGTGATCTGTAAAACACACAACTGCTAAATGGACGCAAAAGTAAGAGGTTTACCAATCTGCTCATATTTAAATAAAACGATAGAGGTGCCAGAAATGTATCAGACAGTCTAAAGGTTTTAAATGTTAACTCTAGTGGAGGGGGACGGACACACACACTTTGTTTATTTCAAAATTGGAATATACTATAGCAAATATATATGGTATGTTTGGAAGATCATTTGATAAGTTTGCTTCTTGAGAGTCTCATAATATGGCTTCAGGCATGTCCAACACTGGCTCTTAAACTGAGGGCAACACATTTTGGGTAATGAGGTTCAAAACGAATTTCAGTGGTAACTTAACTTCTAGACATTAGGACATAGCAAATGATGATGGAAATTAGTCACTAGAGGAGGTGCATAATATATCAAACACATTTTAATGTTGTAGATACTTAGTAGGATTTTTGTAACTAGATGCTTTATTGGTGCTTGCTTTTAGAGCCGTAAAAAACGTATTTCACCAGCTGAGTAGCATTATGTTGATCTATGACACTGCCATTACCAAATTAACATCAGTATTGTTTCCAATGAGTGCTAATTCCAGTCTTGTTAATGCAGGAGTGATGTGGATTCTTGAAATAGGTTTGTAACATGTCCCATAAACCCCTTCCAAAATAGAATGTTGTATAGTTACAGTAGAACATTTAGCAAGTGTTAAGATTTTGTTTCATTGGGTATGGTTTCTTCAAGCTTCTGAGCTGCCATCTCCTGAACCAGTTCATCCACAAATTCTTTAAAAAGAGGTGTGGGGTCCTATAATGAGTGAAAGACATGCAACAAACTTGTGAGATTATGGTGTCTGAACTCAAATAACATCACAATAATATAATATAAAAACAGTAAACAACAAATATTAAACCTTATAACAAAGACCAGTTAAACACATTTTTCATTTACTTACTTTATTTCTCAAAACCATCTATAATTAGCAGAATATGAGCAGAGTAAAAAATAAATAAATAAAAATAAATAAATAAATAAATAAAAAAAAAAAGGAGATGCATTACATAAAAAGTAAAACTGTGTTTAAGGGGGGAAACTCAATTTCTATGGCAACCTATAAAATCAAGTTGGCCATTTTTTTTCATGTGATATCCAATTTTCATTTAAATGTAAATTACAGCTTTTGTGCTGGATATCTCAATCAAGTTCAGTCCAGGCAAAGCCAGGGCACACTGCTTTTTGGGGGAGACACAAACATGTTTTTTCTGTTTCACCTCTGTGTATGCTGAGTGCCAGGTGCAATTAGCAGAGTTTATGATTTAAGAATGATTGACAAAATGTCAGGATGGAGTCGCTCATTTTCATGACACCGCTAAATACATTGGTGTGGATTGTAATTTTCAGAGCTCAAAGATATATATTTCTCTAGGTGACTATGTATATAATAAATCCTGGGAATCAATGTTCCCCTTTCACCCCTTTGCGACCCGTTTTACAAAGAATGGCCATTTATGTACTTTGACATGGCTGCCGAAGCTTGTATGGCATAATGCATCCGCAAGACAGTTCTCAACCACTGAGAAAAAGATGAACACCACAAACAGAACTGGATATTCAGATGTAATAGTTTTAAGCATAATAATAAATAAACTTGCCAGACACACACAATGGAACCAGGAATCGAGGGACAGGTCAATCGATATATCAATGAACAATGAAAGACAAAGGACCATTATGTGACAACTGTGGTAACAGGCTAAACCCAACTGTGTTTGCTGTAAATTGTATAACACTGGAATATGTCAAAAGAAGAGTTTTAGTCAACCAATGTGTACCTGGAGGGAATTGCCACCTTGCTATTCCCTGTATCTTGGGGCACTGCCCTCAGTGTCCTAATTTTAGGTGCCATCTCCCTTAGGTGGAAAATAACAGACATGCAAGTATGAAATAAAGGGAACTAACTGTAACAGAGTCATTACCCTATAGTAGTAAAGATGCATTGTGAAACAAGGAAGTGTTTTTAAGAGTGACCTACACGTATGTACCAAGGACAGTAGGTCAGTTGAGTACCCTTGTAAGCATCTCAGATCCAAGTTAGCAATGGATACTGAAGGTGTGTTGTAGTCAAAGTTAGGTAAATGGGAAAGACCAAGAGAGGCCGAATTTGCCTACCCTTAAAATTGTACAGAAAAGGGAAATTCAATGAGCGGTGCCATTACCTGTCCCTTCAACTGAGAACTATGATATCTGCTACGGTGGCCCAGGGCAGATGAATGAATATATATATTCATTCAAAGCTTATGGCATCCCAGAGTAACCTGCTCTCTCCTAATGGGCAGCACTTTACTCTCTCCTCAAGCTCTGCTTCACTCCCACCTTATTTGATTGCTATTTCCTGCCCTAATGTGTTTTATACCCCACCTCCTATAGACTGTAAGCTCGTTTGAGCAGGGTCCTCTTCAACCTATCGTTCCTGTAAGTTTTCTTGTTACTGTCCTATTTATAGTTAAATCCCCCCCTTCTCATAATATTGTAAAGCACTACATAATCTGTTGGCGCTACATAAATGGCAATAGTAATAAATATATATAATATAATATATATATATCTATCTATCTATCTATCTATCTATCTATCTATCAAAAGAAAAACTTGTCCCTTCCTCCAAAGAGCCTCCTTGTCTAACAGTATTTCAGTCATTCTTTTCCATGCCTAAAGTGGCAAACAAATTGCATGCCTGGAATACTTGTGAATAAGAAATGAAAGTTCCTCCTTTCATTAAATATGTATGAACGCAATCACATTGCAGTATCAAGCGCTTGGCTGACTTGTATGCACAAATGGAGCAATAGAGCGCATTGTAAATCAGGGGATCCTGGGCACAGCACGTGCTGGACCTCACACTCAATACGGACCATGGCGTGGTCACCAGATAACATCTGACAGAAGATCCCCTTCCTTCCCACTCATTTCCTGAGAGTGTTGCGGGCAGACTAGGGACATGGGGCTGGCAGAATCTTCCAGAGAAGAGGTGAGAGAAATATTAAAATATCACAAGTCTGAAATTGAGTGGTGGAGGATATATAATAGATCAGTTTCAACTGTTTCACTGCCAGAGGAATCAGCTATTCTGGCAACTAGAGGTTTAGGTACAGCATTTAGGCATCTTTGCTTCAACACTACTATTCATCAATGTGCTTTTAATTCCAGAGAAAAACAGGTGTCCCAGTCTAGTAATCCAGAGAACTTGGCTTAGTCACTCCCTGTGGAAAAATCCCAACATCTGCGTATAATTGTTATGAACATTAATGCCAACACTATGTGATGCAAAAAAACAAAATTTGCAACCAGATTGATTTTCTTTACCCCCTTTCCGTTAGCAAAATTCAGTAAAATATTTAATCAATGTAAAAATGTGACTAATATGTCTGAGAATAGCGTAATGGATATAGATGTATGAAATTAGATTAA